CTTAATACACACCGCCATATATGGCAACAGTACTTCATTTTCTGTCTGATCTGGCTCTTGTAAAGGTAGAGGATGACAAGAGGGGGTCAGGTACTTACTAGAGTGGTAGAGGGAAGACACCATTTTTCCAGCTTCTTTAACGATGGATCGTATGCACGAATACCACTTGAGGTCTGGGATGAGTTTAAGTCCCAAAAGGAGCTCAAGACACGGGGCCTCCTCGAGAGAACATCCGGTCATCGTGACTGGTGATGTTGAAGGTTAATCCAATTAAAGGTAGGAGAGTGTTTTACAGTACCTATGGACTATAATGTGCATATCCCAATCCGTATAAATACAATAGAATATATTGTATGTGGTCGTCATTTGTCTTCACTGTGGGATTCACTTGCGATTCCCTTTGATTCACTTCTAGCCCACTACTAGCAGTTGATTATTTCACGCCGCTGGCGAATCTTGTATGTTATGCTTGTTATAAATATTATCATTCCATTTCTAACCTTAGTTTTGGTTATTCTTATTCAGTAACCTTTTCCTAGGTTACAACACATAGAAATCCGAAGGCACATTGCAATTGGGAAAGATGTCCTCGAAAATCTAAACAAAGTATTAAGAAACAGGAAAATTTCGTTACGAAACGTGCTGAACACCGATGTGATATATATCCCCTTGTCTCCCTGAGATAGTCACGAGGGTCACGTGTCGGGCGGTGAATGATGTCAGTGGTTAGCGTGATAAAGGGCAGTTGCGATGTAGAGCCAGAGAAGAAGGAGGTCCCTAGACCACAGCGGTAGGTCCTAAAAAAAAAAAAAAAAAAAGCGAAAAAACACATGGCCTAAGTAGGTTCACAGAAAAACCGGCGTAACTTCAAGAAATATTACAAGTAAGGCCCTCCTTCTTTTTACACACTGTTTGTTGTTGCATATATGTTATAATTTCTCTGCTTGGGACACGCAATTTTCATTTAAATTAAATTATTCGCACTGACTTAACATTGAGCTCTCAGGATTTCATCCTCCTTTGGATTATCTATACGGATTACCAAGATTATCGTTACTTGATATATATATATATATATATATATATATATATATATATATATATATAACTTCTCAACTGCGTGCGACGTGGCATTATAAAACTCTATCTGAGAACAAAGCATGTTTATCATTCTTTTTCATTCAGTTATTTCGTCCGCGAAGTACAGTGTTATTATATCACTAACATAATAATGCTCATAATGAGGGAAATTCAAATGGGAGAATAAATATTTCTTCCATAGCTCTCTCCTGTTACACCCTATATGGTAGCGAATGGTAGACAAATCACCTAAAAGATTATACTGCCTCCCGATACGCGTCCGAGGTCTTTAGAACGTTCAGTTTGCCTGTCTCAAAATGCCTCTCGGAATGCTTTAGTCAGAGCCACTGAGTCCGAAGATCAACGTCACCATCGGCTTTCAAGAAGAGCATACCTGAACGCTTCTGCGCGCGTGGCTGAAAATGATGATCAAAGGACTCAACGGCTGAGAAGAAAAGCCTCTTCAACTGCCGCTGCGCGTGAGGAGGAAACTGCTGATCAAAGAATTCAAAGGCTGAGGAGAAACGCCTCTTCAACTGCTGCTGCGCGTGAGGCTGAAAACAAGATTGAGAACGCAAAAACGGCCCTTTTCAGGGTCCCACCATTCAAATTGTTAACCCCCCTATTTGGGGATGTGCCTCAGTTGCACCCAAATGTTGTTACTAATATTGATTTTCGGATGCGCTGACTTTAAACTTAAACTGCTCCAACTGAACCGTAAAAATACCCAGTAATGAAACACCCGGTCGAAGACGGGTTATACTGCTAGTATGTTACAATAAGTCTAAACCAGTGGTTTTCAAGTTTTTTTTTTTTACATATGGTCCACTTTTACTTTTAATTTACCTATGGACCACTTTTACTATTAATTTAACTATGGACCACTTTTACTTTTAATTTTTTTTCGTAGACACCAATAACCATTCGATGAAAAAAGCTTATTTTATATTATCAAAAATTGATAAGTATAAGAATTGTATTATAGAAATACTAAATGTATATCGTTTATTTTGAAGTAAAACTAATTTAATCAAAATAAACTTGTATTTAACAACTAAATTCTATGGAACATTTATGTACACGATTAAAATAACTCATAATAAACCATTTTAAAATATATGAGTAATTAATAAATTTTCAAAAAGTGCAGATTTATTCACCGAGATCCCCGTGCTTGATGCCGCTCTGCAAGTCTTTTAATATTCGGTTCCATCAATGTTAATGATAGTCGAAGAACATCCCTTCTCACAATGTTGAGTCTGTTACTATATTGATTAAATTATATTGATATATTAATATTTTATTAATATTTAAAATTAATATTATTATTTATTATTAATGTAATAATTAATTTATATCATAAATTATAATCTTTATATAATTTTCTTTTATATATATAATCCTTCCTTTATATATTCTTGTCAGTTTTTATTCAACTTTTACAGTCAAAATGTCCAGTAGAGTAAAAGGGATGCTAAAGTACATCTCTTGATCTCGTTTTTCTTTTCTATTTTTAGTATTTGAATATAGCGTAGATTATTGTAGAAATTCCATTTTTCTATGAACCAATAAAATATTACCGTGAACCACGAATTTATCAGTGATGTTACATAGACTCCCGGGGTGCACATGGACCTCGGTTGAGAACAAACTGAAGGGAAGAAAGTTACAGTGGGAGAACAGTCAACACGTGGTGAACGGGGTTCTACATGAGGAAGTACAGCAGCAAAAATAAATGTATATAAATGTGGTTACCTCAGACAAATATTCAAATAATAATACTATAACAGGAGAGAGCAAAGGAAGACAGATTTATTCTCGTATTTGTATTTCGCCCATTATGGGCATTATTATATCCGTGATATAAGAACACTGCATTTCACGGACGGAACTGAATGGGTGAAAGAAAAAGGAATGACAAACATGCTCTGTTCCCAGAGAGACTTTTATAATGCTACTACGACATACACAAAACTACATATACACGTGAGCCACGCGAAGAATTATAAGAATTTTTTATTTTTTTTATTGCATTTTTCTTGTGTTCTTATAATCTTTTAATTATGTTGATATTCCCTGACGAGTGGACGGAGCGATTTCCGGAATACGAAACTCTGGAGTGGGTAACATCGATCAGTTAAGTGACAATTTTTATATTTGTATTACTTCTCTGTTTCTCTCTCTCTGTCTCTCTGTCGCTCTCTGTCTCTCTGTCTCTCTGTCTCTCTCTCTCTCTCTATATATATATATTTAAAATCATCGGAAAGAATAGTGATATTTATAATTCAGAGTTCTTATCTTTTATCTCTATTTTTAAAAACTGCTCAATACGATCGGCATAATAATAATAATAATAATAATAATAATAATATATATATATATATATATATATATATATATATATATATATATACCCAAGTATAGGATTGGTGTATACAGAATAAATTCCAATAACCAGCAAATATTATTCTTAAAAGAGTGCTCAATACAGAGTAGAGCAAATATAATTATCTATTCGAAAATTACAACATAAATATGTTATAAATTTATATTAACATAGTTATAATTCTTGAATAAATAATAATATATATACATATATATTTTCAATGACACTTCATATGAATGAATCTCACCACGGAATCGGTACTGACCTACTGTGAACGCAGTTCGCCAATTAAGCCAATGACCTCAAAGTTTGAACCCTTTTACCAAGCGACTAAGTTTGACCACTGAGTTATTTTCCATTTTGTTGGTTTTAATATCTATAATAAAAATACATACGTTATTAGCACATTCTAAAATTGGAAGTATGATGACGTACTATATATATATATATATATATATATATATATATATATATATATATATATATATATATATATATATATATATATGTGTGTGTGTTATGAATAAATGTAATTTTTGTATTTAAAATAAACGTAACTTTGTTTTTAGTTACGTTTATTTAAATCTAGAGAATCGGCAATGACCGTATAAAATATGGGCTATCTCATCATTGCGATATATGCCACGGTCAGTCTCTATTTAGCACCTGATGATTGCATTGTGCATGAAAGCCCGAGTCGTTCTACCAATGGAGTATATATATATATATATATATTGTCACCTACAGACAGACTATTTCGCTGTATCACAGCTCATCAGTGTGGCTAGACGTCCGGTTGCTTCGAGTTAGGATCGAAACCCGGCTGAATTGGTGTCAGTCAGAGAATCTACCCCTAAGCCGTTGGTGCACGGCAGGAATGAAGGTGAATTTACGGCTATTTATTTTTAGATAAACTCGCCAGAGACTGAGAGAACTGGATTCGTTTTTTTTTATCGAAGAGTATTGCATTAGTAGCAGCATTAGTCACTGTTTACAAACTCACACTTTCTCCCCCGAGAGCTCCACCGAAATAATTTTTCAGGAGCATATATATTGCCATCCACAAACAGACTGTGTCGCTGTATCACAGCTCATAAGTATGGCTAGACGTCCGGTTGCCTCTAGCTAGGATCGAAACCCGGCTGAACTAGCGCCAGTATATATATCATTCATAGTTATTCATCGAGTCTAGAAGAATCCTCAACAGAATGCAGAAAGCACTGGACGGCCGTTTTAGTCCAATTTGGGACATTCATTGCCTAGAATCGTACCAGGACCGTTATGATACAACGCAAGTGTCATATTACTGAACCAATAGGATTTGGTGACGAACAAGAAACTCACTGGACTCAATATAGCGCAGCTACTCATTAAATCCCGCTGGTGATACTCATCCGAGTATACATAACTTAACAGATAGCGCCCCAAGTATCAACGTCTTCTTTCATCAAGCCGCCCCCCTCCAGAGTATCAGAAGTCGGATCAAGCAAGGATATGTAAGTGATAGAGATTTTTTACTTTTGGCGATTCAGTT